TCTCTGTTTATCATGGTGCTGCTTATTAGTCCAATTGTGAGGATTTTTGTTTTCTTTATGTTGAGTGTAATCCATTCTAAAGGCTGTAGTCTTTGTTTCAAGTCATCTTCATTTTCAGCAAGCAAGATTATGTCATTTGCATATCACAAGTGGTTCATAAGTTTCCCTCCAGTCCTGAAGCCATGCTCTTCTTCGTATAATCCAGCTTCTCAGATTATTTGCTCAGCTTACAGGTTGAATAAATATGGTGAAAGGAAACTGCCCTGATGTACACTTTTCCTGATTTTAAACCATGCAATATCCTGTTATTCTGCTTGAATGACTGCCTCTTGGTCTATATACAGGCTCCTCATGAGCACAGTGAAGTGTTCTGGAATTCTCATTCTTGACAATATTATTCATAACTTGTTATGATCCACATAGTCAAATGCCTTTGCATAGCCAGTAAAACACAGGTAAACATTTTGCTGGTTATCTTTGCTTTCAGCCAAGATCCATCTGACATCAGCAATGATATCCTTCATTCCATGTCTCTTAGGAATTTGGCTTGAATTTTTGGTCATGCCTTGTTAATGTACTGCTGAAGTTTTTAAATTATTTTCAGCAGAATTTTACTCGTGTGTAATATTAATGATATGGTTCAATAATTTCCTCACGTTCTTGGGTCACCTTTCTTTGGAATGGGCACAGATACGGATCTCTTCCAGTCAGTTGGCCAGGTAGCTGTCTTCTATTTTCTTGCCATAAAGGAGTGAGTGCTTCCAGTGCTGCATCCATTTGTTGAAACATCTCAGTGGGTATTCCATTAATTCCTGGAGCCTTGTTTTTTCACCAGATCTTCAGGGCAGCTTGGATTTCTTCCTTCAGTACTGTCAGTTCTTAGTCATATGCTACTTCCTGAAATGGTTAAACATTGAACAGTTCTTTTTGCTACAGTGACTGTATATTTCTTCCATCTTCTTTTGATGCTTCCTGCATCATTCAATATTTTACACATAGAATCCTTCAGTATTGCAACTTGAGGCTTGAATTTTTTCTTCAGTTCTTTTAGGTTGAGTAACACTGAGCATGTTCTTCCCTTTTTCTAACTCCAGGTCTTTGTGCATGTTATTAGAATAGTGTACCTCATTTTCTCAAGCTACTGTGTGAAATGTTCTGCTCATTTAATCATTTCTTCCATTTGCTTTAGGTACTCTCCATTCAATAGCAAGTTTCTGAGTCTCTTCTGACATCCGTTTTGATCTTTCTTCCTTCCTGTCTTTTTAATGACTGCTTGCTTTCTTCGTGTATGATGTTCTTGATGTCATCCGACAACTCATCTGATCTTCGGTCACTGACCTTCAGCGTATCAAATCTGTTCTTCAGATGGTCTCTAAATTCAGGTGTGATGTACTCAAGCTTATAACTGGCTCTCATGGACTTGTTTTAATTTCCTTCAGCTTCAGCTCCCACTTGCACATGAGGAATTGATGATCTGTTCCACAGTCAGCTCCTGGCTTCATTCTGACTGATGATAGTGTGCTTCTTCATTGTCTCTTTCCACAGATGTGGTTGGTTTGATTCCTGTGTATTTGGCCAGCTATGTTGATGTATATAGTTGCCATTTGTGTTGTGGGAAAGAGGTATTTGCAATGAATAAGTCAATGCTTGTGTAAAATTCTATCATGCAATCTCTGACATTTCTGTCCAAGGCCATATTTTCCAATTACTGATGCTTGTTTATTGTCAACTTCTGCATTCCAATCACCAGGAATTATTAGTGCATCTCGATTGCATGTTTGGTCAATTTCAGACTGCAGAAGTTGGAGAAAATCTTCAGTTTCTTCATGTTTGGCTTTAGTGGTTGGTGTGTAAATTTGAATAACAGTATTAACCGGTCTTGCTTACAGGTGTAAGGATATTATCTTATCACCGACAGCATTATACTTCAGGATAGATTTGGAAGTGTTCTTTTTGACGATGAATGCAAAGCCATTCCTCTTCGTCATTCCCAGCCTAGAAGACAGTATGATTGATTCAAAATGGCCAATCTCAGTCCCTTTCAGCTCACTGATGCCCAGGCTATCAATCTTTATGCACTACATTTAGTTTTTGACAACTTCCAGTTTTCTTAGACTCATACTTCATATTTCTTCATTCTGATTATTAATGGGTATTTGCAGCTGTCTCTTCCCATTTTGAGTCATGCCACGTCAGCAAATGGAGGTCCAGGACACTTTATTCTTTCCACATCATTAAGATTGCCTCTATTCTGAGGAGGCAGCTCTTCCCCACTTGTACTTTTGTGTTCCATCCTGAGGGGTTCATCTTCTGGCACTGTATCAGACAGTGCTTTACTGCTATTCATAAGGTTTTCAGTGGCCAATTTTTTCACAACTGGACTGCCTGTTCCTTCTTCCCAGTCTGTTTTACTCCGAAAGCTCCACTGGGTGACCCTGCTGGCATTTGAAATATTGGTGGCATAGCTTCCAGCATCACAGCAACACACAGGCCACCACAGAAGGACAAACTGACAGGCCAGTGGTGCCCATAGGCAGTAACCCCCACTTCTCCCTCTCCCTCTCAATCTAGAGTAGTGCCTAAGGCATTTGACTGCTAACCAGAAGGCTGGTGGTTCAAACCCACCAGCCACTCCTCAGAAGGAAGATTGGGCAATCTACTTCTATAGTGATACCACCTTGGAAACCCAAGAAGGGGTTGCTATGAGTCAGATTCGATGCGACAGCAGTGAGTTTTTGTTTTATGTTTCTCTCTCTGGTAACCATTAATAAACTTTGGTCTTTATACATTTTCTTTTTCTTGTCTTTTTATACAAGGGAGATAGTAGCAAAAATTTCCTTTTGTGACACTTACTTCACTCAATGTAAGGTCTTTGAGCTCTATACATTTAGTAGCATGTATCAAGACTTCCGTTTCTCTTGCTGGCTAAGTAGTATTCTATTGTATGTATGTACCACATTTTGTTTATCTATTCATCTGTTGATGAATTTAGGCTATTCCACCTTTTGGTTGTTGTGATAGTGCTGCAGTGGACACTAGTGTACATGTGTTTTTGAGTCTTTGCTTTCAAGTCATTTGAGTATATACCTGAGAGGAACTGCTGCACCTGCTGGGTTTGACCTGTTATTTTGTTCCATGGAATGGTGAACATTGGCTGGTCTTGTGATTTAGTGTTACCATCAGGGGCAGCTGAGCGAGAGGGGTGCATTGCAGAAAAGCTTGAGTGACCTTCCTGAATAGCACATGCAAGTTTGGCTGTTTACAAACCTAGACAGAGGCCTTCATTCAGCCACCTCCTTTTCCCCAACCCCATGGGAAGGTCTCAACCTGTCTCAACCTGTGTTTGCATAGCAGTCAAAAAGCTTCTGCTTTATGAAATGCTTGTTTGCAGATCAGTGAGGTCTGCTGCCCACCTGGTCTTTATGGAAAACTGATTCCAACATTCCCCTGTGTTTTAGCTCAATTCAGGGGACAGGTAGGCGGCACAGTGGCCCTCTTAGCCAAGAGGGCCACTGAGAAGAGTGCCGTGTCCATCTGAGGAGACCTTGTACCAGGATACACAGTGGGCAGATTCACAACTCTGGGCCAGACGAGGACATGTGACTCGAGGACTAGCGTGAACCTGGCTAGACTATCTGCAACCATCATGGACACCCTAGGCTTCAAAACAGCATGTCTGGAGGCCTAGCTTCTGTGTAGCTATACAAAGGTCTAACCAGAAAGCACTTTTCTGAAGGTGGCCCTCTGAACTGAACAGGCCAATTGTGGGACCCTAGACCTGACCTGGTTTTCCCCAGTGGGATCTGAGGTGCAGTCTCAAGGCCAAGCAGTCATCTTGTTGGTCTCCAATGTGTGTCCCAGATCTGGGTATCCTCAGTCTTCCAGTGGCTGTTTTTAATCAGATAGACCCGTCCCTTTTTCTGGCATGGAATAAACTTTATTATAGAAGCTGGGCATCTCTTCATTTTTGTCCTCAAAAGAAACACATTGACAGCAAGAGCAAAGGGGCTCTCGGGGTTTCTCTCCCACTGGCATAGCCAGTGGAGAACCCTCTCCCACCCCAGCCCCTTCCGAGCACACAGGCATACTGCCAGGGGCCCATGCCACCTCTCAACCTAGCCTCTTCTCCAGCATATGCACTGTGGCTCTTCTAGCTGCACTTAGCTGTTTTCTTGTCACCTTCCCTAACCAACTTCTAAAATATGAGGTCCTCACTTAAAAGCCTTATTGGCTTCTGGCTGCCTGTGGGGCTCTCCAACCCCAGGTTATCCCACTGCTGGGCACTTCTGCATAGGCTTCCCTGGGTTTGACCATGGCCCAGCTCCACACGCAAGCTCCTGCCCTTTAGGCACTGGCTGCTTTCCCCTCAGCCTCCCCCACCCCTGCTTGCTCCTCCCAGGGACTTCAAGGCCTGTGGGCTTGCTCCTTGACTACAAAAAACATGAGGGCAAGCTAGGAACGTTGGAATTCTGGAGAGAAAAGAGTTTCTACCACACTTAACGTTCCTTTGCTTGATACTTTGCAGATACATACACACACGTTCTCGCCCAAAACGTGTCTTTATTCTAGGACAATGCCTGGGGGGCCCAGGAAGGGGGTGTTCTCCTTCGTGTGAATGTTTTCAGTCTGAGCCAGCAGGTAGGGTCACAAAGACCACATTGGGAAGACCCTCCTCCCTGGGGAGACGCGTGCAGCACGTGTGGCCTGTGTGTGTCTGAGATCTGCCATCTGCATGTGCAGCTCTAGTAGGTTCCTTCCCCTGTGAAATGCAGCACCTGTCTCAGTCCCACCAGGTCCTGCCCTTGGGCAGCATTCCCACACATGCTCCTCCTGGTACAGAACAGACCATTGCATGAGATTTCCAGGTGGTGCAGGATAAGCAATCCCAATGCAGAGACAGGAAGCTGGACCAGAGGGGAATCACAAGTGGAGATGGGCAGGGCCAGTGCCCAGGATGTGAGCAGGTAGCACCAGCTCTGAAGGGAAGGGGAGCTGTGGTCTCAGTCAGGGTCTGAGTCTGGGTCTGAGGAGAGTTGCCCCTCCATGCTCTGGCACATGGCATCCTGCAGAGATGTGAGGTGACCATGGGGACTCATGCCCATGGGCTGGATGACTCGGTGCCTGCAGAGAAAGGCTCAGTGGGCCGGGTGTGGTCCTGCCCCTCCTGGCCGCCGCCCTTTCACCTGACCCAGGAACCCCGCATATGCTGGACTGAACCCTAACTGCCCTCTCTTGGCTTTGAGACCACAAGCAGTCACTTAATTTCCATAGGCCTCCATTTTCATCAAGACTGATAGAGAATGTGGCCCTTCCCCCAGAGGACACCCATGGGAGGGCTCCCCGCCGCTGCCCACCACGTACCTAGAGAGTCTGTCGAACATGTTCACCAGCTTCATGGCTTCATGTTCCTTCTGCTCCTCTGTCATGCCCTCCATGGGATTGGGCGGCTTCTCCTCTACCCGCCCCGTCACAGGGTTTATGCTGCTTCCAGGGGGGCAGGGCATCACTTTCCACGCAGGATGGGGGGGGCTGGAGGGGGGTCTACTCCCATTTCCCACGTCAGTTAGGGGCTCCCATGTCTGGACCCCCTTCCAGTTGCTCAGACAGGCCCAGCCCCTGGCCAGATACAGACCTCAAGACAGAGGCAGCTTCCACCCATCCTGCCCTGTGGGCCAGTGGGGTGGAGTCAGGGCAACACACCTGGCCTTGGCTTCCTTGTACTCCTCGGTGTCTGTGTCCTCGTCCTCTGAGTACTGGCCTGAGGCCCGGCCCCCTGCCATGAGGCCCCTGGCAGCCAGGAGACCAGCAGCATTCCCGTAGCCAGTGTACTTGATGAATCGGGGCACTGAGGGCAAATGGAGGTCAGAGCCAGCTGTGCTGGGGGAAGGGGTGGGCGCCCAGCCCCCACTCACCACTCTCAGCGCAGAGCACAAACAGGAACTCAGCAGCCACTCGCTTGACATCTGTGTCCAGGTGTGTCATCAGGCGGACCAGCCTGTTGCGCAGCAGCCCCCCAACCTCAGGGCGGGTGCTCACATCCCGGAGTGGGGGCAGCACCTAGGGAGCAACTGGCCCTCAGCCCAGTTCGGTGTCACAGTCCAGGTCCAGGCCCGCCCCACCCCTAGCACCCCATACCTGGGCCTTCAGGAACTTCCTGGCTGGGCGGTGTGCACGGGCACACTCAGTCAGCAGGCTCAATACAGGGGCTACACTTTCCTTCAGCCGGGGCGTCTGTGGAGGGGGAGCTGTCACCTGCTTGGACCCACAGGGATCAGGAAGAGGGGGGGGCTCTTGCAGAAAGCCTGAAGGACCAGCTGGGTAGCAGTCTGCTCTAAGGAGAATCCTTGCAGCTAGTCAGAACCAGGATGCTGTCTGGCCCCTTCTCTGCATTTTTATCTTTCATGAAAACACCCATGTTTCCCGCTGTACCATTCATCCTTATATATGAATAATCTTTTGGATAATTCAGGGTGGACGTTTAAGCATTTAGTATCGGAACAAGGAATAGCAGCTCACATGAGGCACCCTATTCCCTTGGCTGTGGCCCATCAGGGCCACTTGGCTGGTGGTACTGAGGACAAGCCATTGCAGCCTCAGGTCAGCGCCGTTCTGCACATTAGGTATGTATGGTATGGACAGGCCCCATCAGTTCACGCTGCACGTCAGTACCCTTCCCCAGCTGCTGTGGGTTCTGGTGTCTTTAGTCTCCAGCCTGCCCCACTGCCTAAGACTGTGAGGTCCTGGAAATATGCTGAAGCCCAGCCACTCAGCTTCTTGGGGTGCCCCTATGGTAATCAAAGGGACACACACTGGCTAAAAGCTCCTGTGGATTTTGCCTTAGGGAGGCCAAGGAAGTATGGGGCAGGGGGCAGCAAAGGGTTGCTGTGCACAGGGACACCTGGCATCAGAGGGTCACACATAAGACCTGAGGGCTTCCCAGGGTCACCCGAAAGGCATCTGGAAAAATCACAAGGACAAGCAGTGGGGTGGGCTTTATAAACGAAGCAGTGTCCTCAGAGAGGATCGACTGCCTCCTCCAGTGATCAGAAGTGCAACCTTCAGGCAAAGGGGCTCCATGTGCTTTTCAGGGAGGACCACAGGACACTGGACGAACAACCCAGTCACAGCAGAGACCTCCATTCACCAGGGCTAATGAAGTGGAGAAAGGCTGGGCCAGAGCCTGAGAGGAATGGGCAGCTGGCCATCCCACCCACCTGGTCCAAACGCCGCTCCAGGAAGCCAAGGAGGGCATGTATCACATCCATGTTCACTCCCATGAACTCCAGTGAGCCCGCGTGCAGCTCTGCAGCAAGGAGGACGTCAAGACACTCCAGGGGCAAGTTTCCCAGGAGATTCACCGCATGGCTACAGACAGATGGAGACTCGATTAAGCCATTCCTCTGCCAAGTGCCAAAGGCACTTGACTGCTAACCAGAAGGCTGGGGGTTCAAACCCACTAGCCACTCCTCGGAAGGAAGGTTGGGCAATCTACTTCCGTAGTGATACCACCTCAGAAGTCCAAGGAGGGGTCGCTATAAGTCGGATCTGCCTCCACGGCAGTGTGTTTGGTTTGGTTTTGGTTTTTCTGCCAAGTGCAGTCCTAGGTAGTACCCACCTAGGGCCACGTGATGCTGCTCACCACCCAAGTGCAGGCGGCAGTGCCTCCCCTGGCTAGTCCCAGGGGTGCTAGGAACGCCCAGGCTTCCAGATCGTGCTGATGTCCAGTCCACTCAGACAAGTAAAATCAGACTCAGGTGAGTGGGGACCCCTCCCCATTCCCATTCTCCCCCCTGCAGGATGGGAGGCTGAGGATTTCCCTCCAGCGAGGACAGGTTCAAGTGTAGCCTACACCCACCTATTGCATTGCCCCACATTTCCACTCACCACCCCGCAATTCCCTGCCCTACCCGTGAAACTCCTCTGTTCTGTCCCCAGCAGCCGAGACCATCACACAGTGCCGGAGAAGGGTCCCCAAGTGCCGGTAAAGGGCAGCATCTTCCTAACCAGAGAACGGGGTTCTTGTAGGAGGGAGCCCTAGTTGTTCCTGCTGTTGCTACCAGCTGAAGTTCTCCCACCCGCTGGGCCCCATCAATGAGGCTGATCCTGGACCAAAGTCCCTCCAGTTCTATGCCTGGGCTCTGTACTCTCCAGTGTGATCTTGCCGATGTTGGTCTCTGTTCCTAAGAGTGCTTCTCCAGTTAAGACTAGCAACAGATACCCTCAGCATTCACTCCACATGCAAGCTCCCCTCATGCTACATACCCAGGACTCCCACTGGGCCTGGAAAGCCAGAACCCCCCTCCTAAAAGACTGTACGCAGAGAATAGCCTCCTCTCCTCCAAGAGGTGGGAGCGCCAGTCCTCTGCATCTTGTGCCCAGAAACTCGAAGGCATCTGTGCATTGATCCCTCACCTCATTCACCTCCCTTTTGACCGAGTCAAAAGTGATGTTGAAAAGCACTTTGAGGATTTCCATGGCTCGTTCAGTATCCTGGGTAGGGAGGCGCTCTGGGGGGCTCTCCTCGGGGCCCGCCCCCAGTGTCAGCTCCAGAGCATGGGTCAGCAGGCGCACCCCCTGCAGCTCCTGGAAGAGCTCATGGCGCACGTCGGTGCGCAATGCCGTCAGCAGGAAAAGGAGCCTCAGGTCGAAGAACTGGACGTCGTGCGGGAAGCTCTGCAGCCCATGGAGCTCCACGCGCTCTGTGAGCCTCACCACCAGGCGGGCCTCAGCAGCCAACACCTGCACAGTGGGGCTGCTGAGCACGAGGTTGCACAGGCACTTGAGGGACTCTAGCACAATGTCCATGTCTTGGGGCTCAGGGTCAGGCTCCTCGGAGGTGGAGATGCCAGCATAGCGGGCCAAGGCCTGCAGGCTCCGGCGGCTGGTGAACCGATCCAGGCAGCTGCGGTCCCGGGACAGGATGCGGAGACTCTGTAGCCAGGTGGCGCGGCGGGAGGGCGGCAGGCCCTGCTCTAGGGCGGACACCAGCAGCCCAGCCAGTCTCTGCGGACACACGAGCTGTTCCACCCCACCCTGTCTCCTGCCCCGCCCCGCCCCCCTCGCCAGCACCCACCTTCCGGTCTTCCCGCTGGTCGTCATCAAACGTGAAGCTCTGGCAGTTCTGCAGAGAGACCCAGGGGCTCACGGCATACAGGTCCCCGTGGGGGTGGCACCGCAGTCGCTCCTGGGCGACCGCGCCTGCCTCCTTTCTGAGCAGACGGCGGAGCCCGCGCACCCCTACCCCACACGGCCGTCCTGCCGCAGGTCCGTAGACGCGCTCCTAGAGCCGGTCCCGCAGGCTCAGCCCCGCTGCGCACGACCCGCCCACCCCCGTACCGGGCCCGTCACCAGCTCCCGCTCACCTCCTGGTTGTACGTCCGCAAGGCGTCCACCATCGCGTCTTCCTCCCCCGTCTCCACTGCATTCGCAACCGCCCGGGGCTCCATGGCGCCCCCGGGACCGACGCTAAGAGGCTCCAGGCGGTGAGCGGGAGGCTCTCCCCCCGCCCCGTGCCGGCCCCGCCCTCGTACCGGAGCTCCGCGTCCGGCGCGCGGGGGAAGCCGGGACCGGAAGTGGGTGCGCCGCGGAGCGGTGGGAGCCTGGCATGCGCGGCGCCGCGGGGACAGCCAGGACAGGGCATGCGCGGCGCCGCGGGGCATGGTTCAAGGGGCGCAGGGCACACCGTGAGACCTTGCTGCGGAGTAGGTCGGGCTTCTAGACCTGGCTAGGTTATCTGCCGGCCTCGAGGTCTCGGTCGGTCCAGGTCGAGCTGTGACTCCCTCCCCAGACTGCTCTGTGGGCTAGAATTTCCAAGAGGACAAGATCTCGTTGCCCCATCCCAGCGCACACACTAACGTCCCTCTTGATCCACTGAACGAATGGAATGGAAGAGGGACGGCACAAGGGGAATTCTGTACTCCCGTGGCCACTTGGTTAGTTAAATAGTTGTCGAGCTTCCACATCCTGCGAGGCGCTGGGGTTCCAGGGGAGACAGACCAGGAAAAACAAACATGACTTTGGGTGGTTACAAGTGCCATGATTTCAAAAGCAGCAAAGGATGCTGTGATAGCAAGTACCTCAAAAAACCAAACTCACTGTGTGGTGCATTCCAAGGCATAGCGACCCCCTTGGGTTTCCGAAGCAGTAAATCTTTGTGGAAATAAATTGCTCAATCTTCCTTTCACTGAGTGGCTGGTGGGTTTGAACCGCCAGCCTTCTGGTTAGCAGTCAGTGCCTTAGGCACTATGCACCAGAGCTCCTTAGCAAATACCTGATGGGCTGCAAAGGCCTCTGAGGAAGTGACAGTCTTGCTGAAACGGATGACAGGAACTACCAACCCACTGTCATCTAGTAGATTCCATCTCATACGGAGTAGAACTGCCTTATAGGATTTACAAAACTGTAAATTAAGATGTGCCTAACCCAAGCCCTGGTATTTACAGTCGCCTCATGTACGTGACAGCTGGACAATGAATAGGAAGACTGAAGAAGAGTTGATGCTTTTGAGTTGTGTTGGCTAAGAATGATGAAAGTCCTGTTGACTGCTAAAAGAACTAAAAAATCTGCCCTGGAACAAGTGCAGCCGGAATGCTCTTTGGAGGAGAGAATGGCCAGACTTTGTCTCACCTACTTTGGTCATGTTGTTAGAAGGGACCACTCTCTGGAGAAGGATGTCATGCTTGGTAAAGTAGAAGGCCAACAAAAGAGGGAAAGGCCCTCAATAAGATGGATTGACACAGTGGCTTCAGCAATGGGCTTAGGTCTAGTGGGGACCATGAGGCTGGCACAGGACCAGGTAGCGTTTCATTCTGTGGTACATAAGGTCGCTATGAGCCTATGACTCGGAGATGACTCGATGGCACATAACAACCACCACCAATCTTTACAGAAGCAGACTGCCTCATCTTTTTCCCACATGGTGGCTTGTGGGTTCGAACCACCGACCTTTTGGTTAGCAGTTAATTGCCTTCATCACTGCACCACCAGAGTATAGGGCCAGGGGCCAGAAAAAGAGCCGAGACAGATGATAAGAACAGCAAAAAAAAAAAAAAACAACCCTGAGAATGACTCTTCCAGGCAGAAGGAACAAGTCCAAGCATGGAAGTGACCCTGGTAAGATGAGGAAATGATGTTACTGTAGGAACAAAGAATAGGGAGAGTGGGGCACAAGGAGAAAGGGAGGCTAACAGTATGCTGCGACTTCCTCCATGTGTAAGCCAGACGTGCTGCGCAACCTGGACTCGGTTTCCTCTTGTAAAGCAGAGATAATGAAAATGCCCATTTCAGTGGGTTGTCAGGAGGATTAAATGCATCTAAACCCAAAGCAGTCAACGCAGTGTTTGGCATTAAAAAAACGGTGCACTGGTAGGTAACTTCTGGTCCACCATCTATTAACAAGTATGTCTAGCATCTCCTTTGTCACAAACCGTTATCGACAGGGTTCAAGGTCATGAAATACTGGTTCCTACTGTCCCCACACTCCCAAACCCTTTTCCTCGCTTTTTTCCTGCACAATTTTTCACACCTTACTTTATTTAACAAATAACTGCACAGTGCTTACTTATTCCAGGCCTTGTTCTAAGCACTATCTTTGCTTTACAGGTGAGAGAAAATCGTGCGCAGAGGTTAAGGTTCCCCAAGCCACAAGAGGGCCATGCTTCCCTAACACGCCGCACCCCTGCTTGTTTTCGTGTCTTGTCTCTAGCATTAGATCTGCACGTCACCTTAGTGTCTCGGCGCCCAGCACAGCTGCGCGCGGGCAGGCGGGGCTCCTTCCGCACTTCTCCTATAAAAGAAGCCGCATGGAATTTTTAATGTTTAGAGTCTGGCGCTGTGTTAGTGCCCGATGCACCTCTAGTTTGAGTAACTGAGAGAAATGTCTTTTGGAGATCATGCTTTTGGCACCAAAATATTAACCAAGCGGTTCCAATTTCACAAGCGCTGGAACGAGCTCCAAACCAACACCCATCCACACATGACCACCACCTGAAGCCGGAAGTGGAGCGAGCCGATGGCGGAAGGGGCGGATTCGTAGCCGGGCGGAGCGGGGCCGGAAGCCCCTTCGCTGGAGGTATCGCTACGTCGGTGGAGACGTTGGCGACGGCGGCCTAACTGGGGACAAAGGCCTGGGCCGGCACTGGGAGCGATGGCGGATTGGGCTCGAGGTTAGCCCAGGGAAGCACTGTCAGTGGGGTCGGAGGGCGGGGCCGGAACTAGGTGACACCGCAGGGAGGTCCTCGCCGGGGCGGGCACGGCCGGGTCCTTCCCGTCCCAGACGCGGGGCGTCCCCTCGCCCTCTCGTCCCTCGGAGACACTCGTGCGGGTCGGGTGAGGCCTCGGAGGAGCTCCCGGCGACTGTTCCGGAGGCTAGTTTGGATGAGGGCCTGCGAGCCCCAGGAGTCAAGGCTGTGCGCGGTGGGCGGGTCCAGGCTGGCCCTTGGTCCTCAAGCCTCGGTGTTCTCATCTGTGAAGTGGGTTTCTAGTTCCTACCCCTGGGCTTTTGTGACGGGTGAAGGAGTGAGGGATGTGAAGGATGCGTGACGCAATCGGTGTCTCTTCTCCAAGGGTGTCATTGCTGGGAGGTGCTGATTTGGGGGTCACAGACGGTGGTCACCTGGAGGCGTGGGGGGTGTGGGGAGGCGGTTCTCACTCACTTGGTATGGCCCCGTCTCAGTGTGGAGAATGAGTTTGCCCGCTGCAGCCAGTCACGCTTTGGGACAAACCCCGTGAGGCCAGGCAACTTAGCAACCCCCCCCCCCACTGGCATGTGTGAGGCTCCCTGATGTCCCTGGTCAGGACCCAGGTCATGGTACCCCTCAGGAGTTTCCCTGTGCCCTCCTGGGGTCCTCCCATGTCTCTCCTGAGGATGGTCTGGTGCACGTGGGCCGTGATGGACAGAGATGCAGGTATTGCATCTTCTTGGCACCCCTAGTCCAGGTCCCAGCAGAGTCAGGTCAGAAAGTGCTGGTTGGACAAGCCTGTTGGAAGGTGCACTTGGGGGTGCCCCATGCATCCCACCTAGACGTGTACACGGAACGTGTGCTCTTGCTTTGTTGCACAGACTGTCCCATGTCTGAGACCAGTACACCCCATACATGCCTGACAGCGTACAGGTAGAAGGAACCCAGGCCCACTGAGATGGTTGCCTGGGCCCAGTGAAGGTTCTGACGCCATAGAGGGTCAGCTCCCCGGAGTCCATGGTTGGGGTGTCCATGGATGGTACAGCCCCTCCGTCTCTTCGCAGCTCAGAGCCCGGGGCCCGTGGATGACATCCTGGACCGGGAGAACAAGCGGATGGCAGAACACCTGGCCTCCAAGGTCACCCGCCTCAAATCGGTCTGTGTAGTGGGGACCAAGACCTAAGGGAGGGCTTCCACCTGGGGGGTTCTGGGCAGTGTACCCACCTCCTCGCCCCAGCTGTGCTCACCTGCTGTGCAGGTCCCGAGTGACACCTGACCTTAGTGGTGGTAACTGTGTTCAGCAGGGTTGCTCACAGGGTCTGGCTGGTATTGCAGGGAGGGTGGGGACTACCCAGTGTATCTGGCCCTGGCCTAAGCCCACCCTCTCTGCCCTGACCAGTTGGCCCTGGACATCGACAGGGATGCAGAGGACCAGAACCGCTACCTGGACAGTGTGGTAGGGGCCTGCGGCCTCCCCTGGCTCAGCTTTCCCCTCAACTCCTGTCCCTGCCCCATACACTTGTCCTTTCCTATGTACTCTCCTGCCCCACCCCCACATCCGTGACCCCTTCCCTCACCCTGTGCTCAGCTCAGCCCCCCACCCCTGTGGTCATCTCTGAGCCTCATGTACGCACATACACACGCATTCCCAGTCACTCCTTTTACACACCTCGGGTCCCATGCTGCCTCTCTGTGTCTGTCCTCCATAATGAGCTCTGTCCCCCCCATTCCTGCCTTGTACCCTGTCCCTGCCCTGCTTGACAGAGCATCCCTCCCAGGACTTGGATTTTTTGAATGTGACAGGCGTGGTCACTGGGAGCTGTGCATTGTTCCTGTGCCCCTAGTGCTGCCCTGTGCACCTGTCCCTCCCTGTATCTTGTCCCTTACCTTGTGCGTCCCCCACACTCCCATCCCTGTCCCCTGTGCTCGGCTCTTTTCCTCCCGTCTCTGCCTGTTACCTTCGTGTCTGTTCGGCCCTCCACCCACCATGCCCCGTATAACAGGCTCCTCCCCCCAGGACTCGGATTTCTCAAGTGTGACGGGCCTGCTCACTGGGAGCGTGAAGCGCTTCTCCACAATGGCGCGGTCTGGGCATGACAATCGGCGGCTCCTGTGTGGCGTGGCCTTGGGCCTGCTCGTGGTCTTCTTCATCCTATCCTACCTCCTGTCGAGGACAAGGACGTGAGGAGTGGGCCCTGGGGCTTCCCCCCCAAGAGACTCTTACATACAACTGTGGGTTGGTAGCTTTTTTCCTGTGCGGCCATGAGGCACGTCAGCTGGTCTTTGTTTGGAAGGGAGCACTCCCCATCTGTGATCTCAGGGCCCCCCCTCTGCCCATGGTGAGTCCCCGTGAGGACTAGTCTTTTAGCCTGTGCCCTGTGTCCCTCTCCGAAGCCAACCCTCGACCATCAGGGCAGATGGTGGCTTGAGGGTGAAGGAGTCGGAATTCATGCCCCTAGGATTCTGCCTCACCAGCACGGAAGCTAGGCTTCTGGGAGGCCAGGCATGGGCTGTCTGCATTCCAGGGTTGGGCAGAGCATGATGGAGCCCTTTCCTGGGGGGGGACCCTCTCCTGTTGGGTGCTGGCCAGGCTACTGCAGGGACTACTGCCACCCCCTCCCCCCAGCAACCTCCACACCTCCCAGAACGAGGCTTCCCCTGCCTCTGCTTCCTCTGGAGCTTCTGTGTCTTGAAGCGCCACTGGACTCCCACCCTGACTCGTATCCTGAGTAGACCACCTTCCCTGCCCCTCTCTGGCCTCATTGTCTACTTAGTCAGGCTACGCTTGGCCAACGTGTGGCTCCTACCACACAGCCACATCCCAACTCACTTGTCTTCATGTAGGCAAGCCTCCAGCTCTGTGCCTTGCCTGCCTTTGGTTACTGTTTCTCAGTTACCACCTTACTCCAAGGACTACATCCTGGGGTCCAGTCGGCTAGAACAGTTTCACCTCAGAAGTTCACATCAGACCCCAGCCCCTGCCCTGGTCCCCAGCACCCCCATCCAGGAGGGAAGCCCCTGCCACGCTCCCCATAACCCTCCTTTTTACCTGTCCCATTGCACCTGGCCTGAGGACCTGAAGCCTCCTGAGGGGTTCTTTCCATCTCTGAACTTACCTCAACTTGGTCCCTGCCCCCAGGTGCCCCACACACCGTTCCTGCAGCTGAGTGGACAGACCACCCTTGGCTATTGGTCGGAGGCTCTACCTGGCCAGCTGCCCTCCTGGCCTTGCTTCTTGGGCTCTCATCCTCTTGCACCACAGGGTCCTGTCCATTGACCGACCCCAGGGGTGCACAGGTACATTGTACTATATGTTGCTCTTCACCCTGTCCTATGTTAACGTCCACGGTTAACTAGTGGACGTAGGAGTTGCTAATGGACAGAGAATACAGAATGTGCCTTAGGGGGAGACACGGCCCACTGAAGAAACCCAGAGCTCTGTCAAGCTCCCTCAGTGGGTAAAGGAGGAAGGGCTGTTCTCAGACACCAGTAAATCTAGCCCCTCTGAACAGGGGCAGTAGATGATATCCATTGCCTCCAGGGCACTTTCCACTTGGATGATCCCTTTCATCACCCCTTCTGTTTGTTCTTTGTACATGCTATTTGGCATGCAGACATGGCTGTCCAATTAGTATTTACTCCCAGGACAGAGGACTTTAGACGTTTTCTTCCCAAGATGTGAACTGGGACTTGGGTGTGATCTGCCATCACCCTGTGGATGGAGCCTAACCAGGGAACCTAGGCGGATGATGGGGTGGCTTTGCTCACCCCTGTCCTGTTCATTCTGTGAGTAATAAATGCCTGTTGGCCTCACCATTAGAACAGTGTCTGGTCTGTGCTCTGCTCCACACAATCTTCACTAAGAACCTGTGAGTAGAGTGACACTGCACACCTGGCCCCCAAAATAGCCAGCTGCCTGTACAGTGCTTTGCAAGCAGCATGTGTAGGCCCAACTTGTCCCCTACCCTATCCATTCCTGGGCTCACACATCACTCCTGGGACATTGCAGGGGTGTGGGAACCAAATATTCTCGCATTCTGCTGCCAGCCCAGTCTAGCCTCACTGATAGAGACCATTTGCATTCGGGGTGCCCGCCCTCCAAAACTTTCCACTGCTGGCGCCACTGTCTCCCATGCCTCCAGCTCTCCTTGCAGCCTCTCACCTGTTTTGGGGTCTGGGTTTTGGTTCTTTTCTAATTTAAATTTTCTTTTTCTTCTTCCTATTGCATTAGGGTAGACTCCAGGGAGGGAGGAATGCTGGCTTTGTAGCCACATGTTGAAACAGAACCTCCAAGTATATCCTCACTTTTCCCTGCTCAGCCCTCACACACGTGGTGCCTAAGCCTAAGTGTACATGGGGCTTGGGGCCAATGGAAGGCTTAGGGTTGCCTATTTGTGCCAAGTGTGAACCACTAACCAGGCTCTGCCTCATTATTCATCCAGAAAAAGATATTTTAACAATAAAAACTTGAAATAGCTTCATGAAGAAGTGACCATATTGGTAACAAACTGGATAAACTAGATGAAATGGACAAATTCTTAAAAACACACAGGCTATTAAAACTGACTTAAAAGGGAATAGGAAGACTCATAACAAATGAAGAAATTGAATCTATGATCATAAGACTCCAACAACAGAAAGTCCTGGACCTGATGGCTTCGCTGGGGAATTCTACCAAATATTTAGGTGAGAATTAACACCAATACTGTTCAAATTCTACTGAAAGAAAAGGAAGGAATACTTCCTAATTAATTCTGTGAGGCAAACATAACCCCAATGGCAAAACCAGACAAAGAAAAAAAACTACAGGCCAATATCTCATGACTATAGATGTAAAAATTCCCAACAAAATACTACTGAAGAGAATCCAATGGTCAGTAAAAGAGTTGGGACAAAGGATGGGGGGGGGGGGAGGCATTCCTGACCTCCTTTAACTTCATGAAGGGGAGAGAATCACCATCAACATCAACAGCCCAAGGCTGATTCCTATGAAGTTGAGGTCAGACATGCTGCTACCCTCCAACCTTTGTACTGATTCTGACACCAACCTTCCCTTCCACTGTATTCTCCACTTCTCTGCTGGGTTCAGTAATTCTTTGCAGTGACCACACACAGCTCACAGGCAATAATCACAGTTTGGGGCTTTATTAGGGAAGTAACTAGTTAAAATTCAGGATCAGAAACAACTCAGGATATAGTTTTTCAATAAGGATAGGTTCTTGGCCATGCCATAGGCACACTTCTCTCTGGCCTTGGTCTCTACCCTGCTTGGGCAAGTGTTACAAACCTTTCAGTTCTGTCAGTAGCTGCCTAGAGGTACCCCACTCCACCAGCAAGCCTCCTGCCCAAAGGCACTCGGCTTTCTGCACCATGGGCTGGGAACCCTTGCACTCTGTCTCGTGATGGTCTATTGGTTCTGCTACCTCAACTCTGCTGGTTCTCTGCCACTGCTGCTTGCTGTCTGATCTCCTGGATCAACGAAGTTCGGCACAGGGATCTTGGGTCCAAAGAACACGCTCCCCTCTTGACTCTTGATGGTAGTGAGATTCCCCTTTCCACCTCTGAGGTGGCTCATTTTAAGCCTAGTGGGTGGCAAAACTGACCAATCCCCGCACTAGGGTTTCATATACCTTATTTGCATGGTCCCACTCCCCACAAGGGTGCCATGTACCCTATTTACATTACCCACAAGCTATTCAGTCCCCTTAGTGGGCCATATAGTCCCACCCAGTCATTTGGTGGGAGTTACGATGATGGCTAGAAAAGTCATACAGAGGAATTCGCTACACTGCAGTCATACACCATAACGAAGTGGGACTGATTCCAGGAATACAGGAATGGTTCAGCATCAATCAACCACATGATCATCTCTGGATGCAGGAAAAGCATTTGATAAAATCCAACATCCTTTCTTGACGAAAACAGTAAAGAAGATTGGAATGGAAGGGAAGTTCCTCAGTGTGATTCAGGGCATATATGCAATGCCAGCAGCCAACTTAATGGCAAAAGACAGAGCATTCCCTGTGAAATTGGGAACAAAATAAGGGGATCTGCTCTCGTACTTCTATTAAATACTGTATTCAAAGTCCTAGCTAGAGGAATATGACAAGAAAAGGTTCCAGATTGGAAAAGAAGTAAAATAATCTCTTCATGGATGATACGATCTTGTATGTAGAAAATCCCAAGGAGTCCACAAGGAAACTTCTGGAGTGAATAGAGGAATTTAGCAAAGTTGCAAGATACAAGGTGAACAAACAAAAAACGGTTGGATTTCTGTACACCAGCAATAAGAAATCTGAAAGGGAAATGAGGAAAACAATTCTATTTCCAATAGCATATAAGAGAATGAAATACATAAGGATAAAGCTAACCAGGGATGTGAAGGATTTATACGATGAAAATTATAGGACTGGTGAAAGAGATTAAAGATGACTTAAATACACAGAAAGGTGTTCCACGTTCTTGGATTGAAGGAGAATGTTAAGATGTCAGTATTTCCCAAAACAATTTATAGATTCAACACAATCCCAATCATAATTATAATAGCCTTATTTACAGGGACGGGGGGAGCCTCAACTTTGTGTCAAATAGCAAGATGCTGCAAAGAGCTGGAGCTATGTTGGAGCAGGAAGAGCAAAGGTGGAGGACTCAAAATTCTTGATTTTAAAACATACTATTCCACTGCTAGGAGCTCTGGTAGCATAGCACCTAAAGCACTTGACTGCTAGCCAGAAGGCTGGAGGTTCAAAGCCACCAGCCACTCCTTGAAAGGAAGATGGGGCAATCTACTTCTGTAGTGATACTGCCTCAGAAACCCAAGGAGGGGTTGCTATGAGTCAAGACCGACTCGACGGCACATAACAACATTCCACTGCTACTTGTAATTTTCTGGTAATAAAGTGTTTTGCTGCTGTTTATAAGGTTTTCACTGGCCAAGTTTTTCAGAAGTGGATGGCCCTGTTTTTCTTCTCATGCATGGTTTAAAGTCAGGAAGCATGTTCATCAGGCTTGTGTCCTTTCACCATATGTATTCAATCTGAATGCTGCATAAATAATCCAAGAAACGATTATGAAGAAGAGCGCAGCATCAGGATTGGAGGAGGACTCATTAACAACCTGTGATACGCAGACGACCCAACCTTGCTTGTTGAAAGTGAAGTTGACTTGAAGAATTTGCTGATGAAG